ATTATTTACAAATGCCATAAAATAAAGAAAAAAAAATCCATTTCCTACATCCTCAAAATCCTTGCGTTAAATGCCAAATATAAAACACAGTAACAAGTAGTGGTGAAAACCATTTTAATTATACAAAAATGGTTTCCCATTTTTGTTACATTCAACATGTAAAATCTTAATAGGAAGAAAAAATAAGGGAGTAGGAAGGAGGGAAAGGTGGAGGTGGTAATCAATACAAATTAATTTTATAAAGTAACTAATCTATTAGTGAATATTTTTAATTTGTTCTCCAAATAAATTATGTTCATTGTTGTTGGTCAGGCAACAAGACAATGTATTATAAAATACTTTATAATTTGTGGTGCAAATTCTTAATATATATGGAGTGTATGTAACAAGTTGTTGCTATGTCTGATCATAATAATATGTATGAGAGAAAAATTTGTTTCTGGATTGTGGGTACAACCAATCCTCCACCCCAAAATAAAAAATATAAATAAAATGATATGTAATTTTATGTTCATTTTCACAAATTACAAAAAGGAAATTTGTATACTAATTTCGTTTCGCTTATTTACAAAAAAATATTAAAAATATAAAAAAATAAAAAAAAAAAATAAGAGGAATGTCTCATAAGATTTTCTGCATAAAATCATTGTACATATGCAGACACACCCACCCACAAAACTAGTAATGAGTAATATATGTTCAAGAACATGACATTATATATATATATATATATATATATATATATATATATATATATATATATATATATAAGCATAAGTGGAATTATATTAATGAAAAAAGAATTTCATGTACAATTGTGTTTTAAATGACAAAAAATCAACACCGTAAGAATTTGATTTTCCATTTATTATATATATATATATATATATATATATATATATATAAATATATATATATATATATATAAACAACACAACACACATGACAAAATAGGCCTGTGCATGACATTTAGCCTCATGCACAAATATTTTTAGGGTATGTTTTAAATACATACACTTTACATAGCAAAACTTATACGGGATATGTAGAAATTAGGTATCATACACATACATAAGACAAACATAAAATATGTAACAAATACATTACAAGTCTATTTCTTGATATGTCATTTATATAATCAACATATCTATTTCATATAGATAAGTAAATCCACATTCATACAAACTAGCTTGAATTTGTCTTTTTTTTCTTTTTTTAAAGAGGATGATAACCATCCATTGTTATGTAATATTGTTGAATCAATTAAGAAAATGAACTTTACAAAAAACATCTTTTGAAAATTTAATAAATATTTATCCTTTTAAATTCTAATAAGTATTTTGATATATCAATGACATTAAACCTACAGAAATAAGAAAATTAAGTATAACACTTGTAAAAAGAGTCAATCACCATCTTTAAAAAAAAAAGAAAAAAAAAAGGGGGCATGAAATTAACAGTGTACTATTGTTTTTCTGCTATTGTACAGACTGCAATTGGTAAATTGTCGCCATTTTACACTTTTAATTTTGTGCATGCATGTTATGTTATTGCCGACTGCATAGTATAGTAGGGTCAGTTGGCCACTGTCTGTGAGAAAAAAAAGCACCATGATGCAATTCACTCCACCAGTAATTTTGAATCACAGAATGCTGTACTGCTTGGCATTAATGTTGGAAGTGCCAATATGAATATTTCAGAGTGTTTGGGTGTCAATCTGAGGACAGTGTAGAGGATTCGGAAATAGTTGGATGATATATCCTATCAACACCATTGTGTTTGGAGTGATTACTAGTGATGGCAATGTTATGCTCCATTCATCTTCCCACAGGGTCTCAGACTCAACATGGAGGCCTACATCAAGTGCCTTGAGGAGGTAGTGCTGCCCTGGGTCAAGAGGGTGGCTGATGGACGACCCCATGTCTGGCAATAGGACTGCTCCATGCCACACGAGCAAGAGAACCCAGTCATGATTATAAGACACACATCCCCCCCGCTTACATTTGGCCACCTAACTCCCCAGACTGCAAACCCCTTGATTATGTGTTGGGTGCAGTTGAGTGAGAGACCAAAAAACTCCTTGTAACACCAAAGAAAGGATTATTGTAACATTCACCAATTTAAACAAGGAGACCGTCCAGAAGAGATGCAGGAGATTCTGAAATCATCTGGAGGCCGTGGTTGAAGTCAATGATGATTTTTATTGAATAAATTTACTCTTTACTATTTAAAGATATTTTTGTGTAATTTTGGCAAATATATCTGTTAAAATGAAATGTCAGTGTTATTTTTATTTTCGTGTAAATTAAACGACAATTTATCCATCGCACACTGTAGAGATCCAGAGATGGCAATTGTTTACATAATAAACTTTCACAACCAGCAAGAACATTTCTAAGATGGCATACAAGATTTGAAAATGTATCAAGTAGGCACATAATAAACTTCATCTACTACATATTAGTCTCCATATGTTAAAAAAAAAAAAAAAAAAATCCAAAAACAAAAACATACAAGACATTCAGTTGATTTTGGTACTAATTCAAGTATACAACTAATAAACAGGTAATTAATTCTATTTTCATATTATAAGACAATCAGAAGATAAGGTAGTGATGGAAGCTTGTACAAGATCTATACAAGCATACATACATATCAATTATACATTATTAGTTCATAGTATGTATATAGGTATACATATATTTTAAATAATCAATCATTCACATATGTATTAAAGCAAACACAAGTAAACATATCAAAAGCATATATGCAAATTTTGTCTGCATGAATATTTGTGTGTGTATGTGTTGTGTAACTGAACTGTTTATATATAGAAAATAAAAATAATTATATATATATATATATATATATATATATATATATATATGCGCATGTGTATTTTCCAGAAATATCTACATACTTAGATATTTTCTATTAAAATTACCGTTATTTTTTTTTTTTATAATTACGAATAAAAAGAAATCTCTTTACAATTTATCACATTAGTTAAAAATTTTATCAATATCATATACCGTTATACATTAAGAACTATTTACAAGTATAAATCTTTAAGAGCAGATCATAATTAGAAAAAGCACCAACACAAAACGCATTGCTCCAACAGCAGTTTTCTGCTTTTTTTTTTCCTTTCCAAATGGGCCATAGAAAATTGATTTCAATGACTAAATCATGGGATTAATTTGATTAATTAACTGTTCAGTGCAACTCGGTGACATTTACAAGTCTTCATTCTTACAATTAGTTTGCTTCAATAAATGCAGATTAACACAAAATACAAAATGTATTAAAAATAAAATAAATAAGTATAAAGCTATTTGGACCCACAAGAAGCAGCTTACTAATTTAAACAGGTGCAATAAAAAGTAAATAGTGTTTTCCTTTGTTTAATCACAGGTATTTTCACTGTTAAAGTTTTTACAAAATAAAAAATATTTCAATTTTTAACTTAAGCCATAACATTAAGTCTTTTCTATTCGTGGATTTTTCTAGAATAGAAAATTAATTCCTGCATACATCTAACAGAGATATATATTCAGTATAAATCTCTCTCTCTCTCTCACACACACATATTTACAAACATTTACACAATATCTATATCTCTCACTCACACACAGAGTTGCTGAGTGGAATTTCTTTCTGCATTATTTTCGGGAGAAATTAAACTGTAATATGATGATGATGATGATGATGATGATGATGGTAATAACAATGATAGTGATGACAATTTTTCTAAGAAAAAAAATTTAACTTAGAAATCTTTACAGCTTCAATAACAGAAGCATGAGACTGACTTTTTTGGATATTGTAGGAAGTGATCTACATAACTATAGGATTGTTGCAGGATCAAGATTAAAATGAGGACTTCTGAAGTGAAGTCTTCAAGGAACTGATGCTGGGAAATCATTTGGTAAAATGATTAAATTGTAAGAATTAATCACAAACATTGAAATTAATAATTAAAACATGTATATATAATAGGCTGATGAAATTTTGAGAGATAAAAGCAACAAAAATAATATTTATTTTAAGTAGGCCTTTTAACCAAATGGAAACAAAATGAAGATTTTAAAAAATTGCAATTTTCTAAAATGCCCGTGTTCTGAGTAAAGAAAAAAAAAACAAAAAAAAAAAACAACATGAAGTGAGACTTTTTCTGCATCTATTACCAAAAGATCCGATAGTTGTAAAGGGTTTGTAGAAGGCTTTCTGTGGAAACTTTTCTTTGAGTATGCCTAAATTCTTGTTTAATATTAGAATGTCTGAATATTTTAAAAATGTATTTTAACTTGGACTTTTGGCATTCTTGGCACTTAAAAGAGAGTTAGAATACATTTTTAAAAGTTTCACACATTTTAGGATTAAGCAAGATTTTAGGCATACTCAAAGAAAAAAAACGTTTCCATAGAAAGCCTTCTATAAACTCTCCACAACACTAATTGTGGCAAACAACTAGCCCAAAACTATCAGATCTCTTTGGTAATATAACCATGCAAGGAACACAACTGGTAAAGAAAACCCACTTCATTTTTCATTTCTTGTCATTTTGAGAAAGGACACCAGCATATGTGAAAATGCTGATTTTTAAAATCTTTTATGTTTACATGTAGTCAAAAAAGGCTACTAATATGCAATAAATATATTTGTTGTTGTTTTTTTGGGCAATCTTTCTTTACTAAATATATATATATATATATGTGTGTGTGTGTGTGTGTGTGTTTAGGAATGTATATACAAGTATATATAACACGTTAGCGTTTTGGAAAATAATAGCAATATTCTTTTATTTTAGGTATTGTGAATGTATGGAAGTTTGGGCTGTATAGATCAATCTGCAAGTTGTAGATCTTCAGCTTTATAACTATGTAGAGATGTTAAAATACATAGGTAAATAGAAGTAACTGTTTTTGAGTCACAAATTAAGCAGACCTTAAAATTTATAGGCAATATGTAATGTATGTAAGGAAGAATGCTTGTGTGTCTTAGGTAGCTTGCAGTTTCTGAAAATTTTTTACCAAATCCAAAACCTTGGATTGTCTTGAAGAAAGTTCAGATATCTTCTCTGTACTCTTCCCCTTTTCTCTGAGTTTTACAGTCTTCTGAAATCAAAAGAATATATTCATAAGAATTTAAGACATGGAAATTATAGCGCATCAACATGTGAAGGTTTCATTTCTCACACCCATTGTGTGTGTATTTATATATATTATATATATATAAACATGACTGTAAAGTAACTATTTTATTATAGAAAATGTTTCAGAAATAAGAGTTGCAACATTAGTTCTTGTTTGTTAGTTTTTCAACCCTTAGTTGCATACCACTTAACAACTAAAGAGATAACTCTCCTACATTTTAGATTCTTAATGCTTATCTTGAATAGCCTCATCTTATTTTGTACATAACTTTTGTAGTATGTATTTTAGCATCCATTTTTCCTCATTGCCAAACGTTTCTCCTTTTAGCCTGTTGAAAAAAAAAAAAAAAAAAAAAAGACCAAAAGCATAAAATAAACAAAGACCAAAAACAAAGAAAAACAAAAAAAAGAAAGATCAAAAACAAAATAAACAACCAAAAACAAAGAAAGAAAGAAGAAAAAGCAAAAACAAAACAAAGAAGTTCAGATAAAATTTTCAATAATGGTTGGAAGAGCAGGTCATAATGAATAGAGTAACAGACTGTGGCAAATTATATCATGTGCTGAAAAGTTCTTAGTCAGATTGACTAACAAAATCAAAATATTTTTGTGACCTAGTGGTGCTAAGGGAAGAAGTGGTCACTTTGGTTGGACTGAGAACTTTTTCAGCACCCTCTCATACAATATACAAATTCCATTATTATTTTTCATGCATCCAAGGCTTCAAATGCTGCTATAAACACTTATTTTCTCCTGTTACAATGTACATTAAATATAAATCAAATGTAAAAGAAATATCTAGTCCATACTAAAAAGTTTGATATCACTCAAATTAGTCCAATATTTTATTGTTCAGTATTGAAGTAACAAAGGCATTTTAAACAGCTGAAAAATAGTCAAAGTTATAACCAATGTTTTATTAGGGAAATAAAAACAGACATTGAAAGGACACACACACACATATAAAATCCATAAGAATGGAAAAAAAAACAAAAAAAAACTTACTGTAAATTGATAATATTTTTTTATTAGCATCTTGTTATTAATTATTCTTTTTATGTCATTTTAAGATATCTGCTTTTATTGCTCTAATAAAATTGTGCCCCTGTGAAAATAAATTAATGTTTTGCAAAGTAAAAGCCAAAAGTCCTACACATGAATGTAGAGTATTATTACTGAAAGTAAAATTGTAGACATACAATGGAGACCCCCACCCAGTTTTTCACCGACATCTCCAGTGTTGTCTATTCTCATTCATGTCAATGTGCATCAAGAACTGGTAAAAAAGTTCTGTGGCAAGTTCATTAAAAAAAAAAAAAAAATGCTGATTCCACAGCAATAAACAAGAACCCTGTTTCTAATGTTTTATCCAGGTTTTTGCTGGCATACTGGGTGGGTAGATAAGATGACACTTGAAACAATTTCTGCTGTGTCAGACTAATAGATTATCTCTTCCCTTCTGCCAACTCTTTACCAATGTATACAGCACCATGCATAAATGGCAATACAAACAGGCAGCATACCTGTCTGCCCCTGCCAAGAGCAGACCAGAACTGACTTCAATTCCATGACCCTATAGACCAGTAACTGGAAATAATCAAGGAGGTCTCAAATCATAATATCACAGAAGAATTAATGAGAAAATATTTAGAATAAAAATTACTTAATTTTATCTAGCTATCTGTATGTACAATTTTAATGTCAAAGTCTTGAATATAAAGACTGTATAAGGAAATTAAAGTTACAACTTTAAGAGGGGGGAAAAAAAAAAAAAAAAAAAAAAAAAAGCACTATTCAAATCCATTTCTCTAAATTGCAAGAGATTTAAATGTCAACATATTAAATCAATTTTAAGCCATTATATCCATAATTCTTAATTTTATATTGTAACTTTCATTTTGCCAGGCTGATATTCATTGGTATAAATTTTAAAATCATCCAAAACAATTGTCTTTTGGTGAGAAAAAAAAAAAAAAAAAAAAAAAACTTACAGGAAACCTTGGCATATCACAACATCTAAATAAAGGATATATATATATATGAATGAAAATAAATAAAAAAATTAAGTCTTAGCTCACCTGCTCACTACTGTCATCTTTTGCAATAACCTCAATCTTGACGGTTGTTCCTGGGTCGACATGGGATGCTGCAACACTCTTTGCCTCAAATAAAGCAGAAAGCCGATTGGTATTATTCTGAGTTACGTCTATTCCGGAACCAGCAATCTCATTGGCAGCTGAGGAGGTCTGCTCAAATGATTTCAATTTTGGAGCCAATGATTGTTTTGCAGGCTCAGACACCACCTTTGTGGTGGTTTTTGTGGGACTGTCAACAGTCATCTTAGAACTAGTAGCTACTGTATTAACTTCATCAGAAAAGGGTTCTTTGGAATGCTTGGAAGAATCATTTTTTGTGGGTGTGGCAATCACCTTGGAAGAGTCAGATATTTTGCAAGAATCTGTTATTTTTGTTGTGGGAGCAAGTTTCGGTTCAGGATCTTTTGGTGATGAATCATCTAATTTAACAACAGTATTGGAACTTACTGTTGTTATCTTAGATGTTTCTGCTATATTGGAAGAGTCTGGTATTTTTGATGTGGAAGCAATCTTTGGTTTATCATACACAATAGACCCTGAATCCATTTTGCTAGATTCCATCATTTTGAATCCTCCAGTGACCACTTTGGGTTTATCAGTTATATTTGAAGTATCTGCCATTTTGAAAGTATTCACTACTTTACTTGGAGTTGTAATATTGGAAGAATCTGCCATCTTTGTTTTGCTAGGAGTCATACTGGACCCTGTACCAGACTTAGAACTAGTAGCTATACCACCAGACTTCTCAGGCATTTTAGATTTTTCAGGTATACTGGAACTAGTGGAAGAATCTGCCATACTGACAAGAGTAGTCACTTTAGACCCAGTAGATATCTTGGATGTCAAGGCTATTTTATTATCTTTCTTTCCAATTGCCTCAAATATCTCAAGGTTCTTGCCAACTTGAGATTTACATTCCTCCACTTCTAATTGGATTTCAGTAGTTTTATTATTTTTATTCATTTTATTTGATGATAAATTCAATTTTGGACCCATATTTGGTGCTTCTACAGGACTTTTCAAAGGTTTTGGACCTAAGCTTGGTTTTTCTAAAGATTTTTTTAAAGGATTTTGGTTTGAATCTTCAAAACTTGTTTTTAACGGTTTGGATTCTAAATTGGTTGACTTTAATAAAAAGTCTTTGGTTGATTCTGTAAAATCAGGTTTTGGTGATTTTGGTTCTAAATTTATAGACTTTAAAAATGGATTTTCACAGGAGTCTTCCAAATTTGATGAATCTGAAGGACTTTTGGACAATTTCTGTCCTGAATTTTGCTCTATTAAGACCTTTTTTAAAGGCTTACTAATCAAATCACTAAAACTAGAAGTGTCTGAGGAGTTCTTTTGCTCCAAATCTGGCCTTTCTGAAACTCTTTTAGCAGAGTTTAATTCTCCTACATTTGCCACTTCTGAATGTTCTTTTAAAGGTTTTGACACTAAGGCTGGGATTTCATTTGGGCTTTTGCCTTCTGTAGAAGGACTCTTTAAAGATTTCGACATCAAAGTAAATGATTTGGGAGCTATTAAAGGACTTTGTGGTGATTTTGAATGCAAATTTTCATAACTTTCAGAAGTATTTTCAAGTTTTGACACCAGTTTAGGTAATTCAAAGCTTTTTACAGGTGATTTTGTATCTAACCCCACTAAACTTGGGCTTCCTAATGGACTTCGTATTGGTTTTGGTGGTAAAATTGGTGACCTGGGACTTAAATTTGGTGACCGTAGAGAACTTCTCGGTGATTTGGGATCTGAGAAGCTTCTCAAGGGTTTTGTAGTTAAATTACCAAGTTCTAAACTAGCAATTATCTTCTTGGGAGATTTTGGTTTGTCTTCATTTTCCGTATTTGGTGCCTCCAATAGTGAACCTTTTTGTTCTTCATTTTGATTCTCTTTTGTGAGAGAATATGTTTGATTCACTTGTTTGGAAGTTTCCTCAGCAAGGTCTTGTGGCTGTTTGGAGCTTTTCAGATGTTTTTGAATGGATTCCTGTGAATCTGATATTTCAATAATGTTTTCCTCAGTACTTTTGGTTACACTTTTTGGCGATCTTAATTCGTTATCTTGTTTAACTGGGCTTGGTAATGACTTTGAAAATCCCGAGGGAAAATCTGTTGCCTGTATAGGAATTTTCAAAGGTTTCAATACTAAAACTGGAGGAGTTTTTGGACTTTTTATTTCATCTTCAGAATCAAGAGACATTAATGCTCTTGATTCTAAATCTGAACTTCTTGTAGGACTTGCATCTTTCATGGATTTTGATTCAAGACTTGGAGTTTGAATAGGACTTTTTATAGATTTTAAACCCAAATCTAAGCTTCCTGCTGGGCTTTTTAAAGGTTTCTGAGATTTTTCTTCGTCATCAACTTTCACTCCCAAATCTAAGCTTATAGGACTTTTCATTGGCCTTAAACTCTTATCCCCAAAGTTTGGACTAAGTAAGCTCTTTTGAGAATCTAATCCAACATCTACACCTTTTTCATAATTTCTATAGACTTTTACACACTCCTCATCTAACTCCATATGCTCAGAGTCTGGTTTTGGTTCTTTTTGTAAAATTTTAGTATCTTTCTTAACTGATATCTCCAAGTCTTTTATTTCAAGACCTTTTCTGTTGCTCTTTGCATATTTGTCAGTAGTTTCTGTATCATCCTTTGAACTTTTGGGTACTAAATTGGACTTTTTAACAGGACTTAGACTGAAGTCCAAATATCTTTGTCCTTTACCCTCAATATCCAAACTCTTGCTTCGAATTTTACCAAATTCATGTAACTCAGGGTTAACTAAGTGTTTAGAGCCTTCAGCACTTTCAAGATCAAATACTGTATTTGATATCTGATGGGTTTCTTCAGTAGAATGAATTGTCACTGGTGTAGATTTGGGTCTGGGTTTTGGAGGTAAATCCTGTTGAAGAGGAACAAAAAAAAAAAAGAAAAAAAAAAAAAAGTCAAATTGCACAAACCAATCAACCACATGTTTGAGAGATAAAACTGTGCAGAATATATTTTTGTAATTTTCTAGCATATACAACAGTACTATATTCTAAATAATTTTAAAAACTTTTTACCACACTTAAAATAACCAAGTAGTTACACATTAATGGAGATTATATATATATATATATATATATATATATATATATATAGTGTGTGTGTACCACAAGTTTTGTGCTTAAGTTTCTTCAGGTAATTAATGAAATTAAAATATAGGTGACAACTGTTGCTTTCTTCCTTTTCTGCAGTTAAATAAATATTAGATAAAAAGAATATATACATTTTATCAGCCCACAACCAATGTAATAAAACATATACAAACATTAAAATGTAATGTTATATATCAAATGTAAGCTATTAATACACAACACTTTTCTATTTAAGTAAACTATAGTTTTTTGTGTATTTTTACTTGTTTATTTCCTTATGTTTAACTTGAGTGTTAATGCAATTGTGCGTATATGTGATAACAGATGATTGAGACACTTTCACAATATATAGAACATGGCCTCTCTTTATTTAATGATCAGGTTCTATTTCATCAATCTGATTGCTGAGAAGTTGTACCAGACTGCTATTTCAAACTTACTAAGCATATTGAGGGTCAACCAGCTTCAAATATCTTGAATGTCACTTTTGCACTATTCTTCACATTGGTTTATTTCTAAATGTTTATATAGTAATGTTTTGATGGATGGATTCATTTTTTTTTTTTTTTTTACAAGGTTATTTGCTTGTAAGTGAATATAATGAACCCAATGGGAATTGGAACTGCTCTCTGATTAACAATTTGGAGCCATTATCCATTACATCACCTGCACATCCAAGCTTACAGCACCTGGTATTCCCAAAACTGTCACCTATCTAGGCACTGACCAGGCTTAACTTTGGTGATCATATGGAAATTGGGGCTTCAACATGATGTAGCTATAAGCCAATACATTAATGTATTGAACAGTAAATGTTAATAAACAAATTTGAAAATCAGATCTATATTCTGTAGATTATTTCAGTTTGTATACTGTAAATCCAGTTACAAGTAAATTTTTATTTTCCACTTTACTCATTTTACTTGTTTTAATTCCAATCTGAATGACGAGAAAACCAAAGTTTTTCTAAACCATATAATACTGACTGGTTGGATTTTAAATTTTTATTTTGAGATTTTGGTCCTAAGTCTGGGGGTTTCTTAGTGCTTAATCATATATTAAATAAGAACCATTTCATTTGAAATGTTTTGAACGTGCTTCCATAGAAGACATGATTCATTAGAATATACTCATACATAATAGAAAAATGTTTGGTTGGTAATGCTACTTACCTCAAGTGGAATCCTTTGTTCTCTCTTCTTTTTTGCAACAGGTTCTGTTATTTCTTCTTTTGGAGGAAAAATCTCAGTTTCCACTTTTGGTGGAATTTCTTCTACATCATCTGTAAATATAAATGTAATTTACATATTATTAAAAGACATTAAGTAAAGCAAACCTTTTGAAAACAAACTATAATTTGGAATTTGAACAAAGAAGTTACAGTCCCTATACTGAATCTATCAGAAAATATTCTGGATGTGGAATTATTAAATACTTGAAATATCTGTGTCTAGATCAATTATAACAAATTTAATATATAGGAGATAATAGAGACTTTCATATGGATGTCATACACAAAACTAATTCAGAAATATCTCAACTGTTAGCTGTAAACAACCACTTTCTAAGATCAATGGTTAAAAATTGTTTCGAACGAGTGAAACCCGTGTGTCTTTGTGAAGACCACACTTTGAACTTTGTGAAGTGGTGCTACAGAATCACAAAGAACTGTACCAAATAATCAGAAAACATATCACTCGAGTACATTCAACAACAACAACAACAACAACTGATAAAATGGATATAAAGCTGGAGAAAATAATCACAATCAAGATGTTGTCACTCCACAAAACTTCAAATAAAAAAAAGTTTAGGAAGGAAACCCACATCAATATTGAAAAGAATGATAACAGCTACTTGACGTGAAAAATCTATTTTCCTGAAAAATTGTTTTAAGAGAAAGATTTTTATAAATTTTGACCAACAGCAGTACTGGATGCTTGGTCAATGAATGCCAAAAGTTTCCTTATAAGGAAACCAGTAATATTACCATTGGGATATTAATTATCAATCTAAAAGATAATGATTGACATTTACCATATTTTGTTGTGTAAATATGACTCAATTATATGACACCAGGAAAAGAAATTATATCCACAAGTATAATATGACCCTGTAGCACAGCTGTCCTCATAGTAAAGTTATACCTATTATCCATTAAGATTGCCATACATATATTTCATTAAAAATATTTAATTTTTCACAATATTGATAAACAGAAATGAACCAGATGTTTAGCAATTATGTATTTCTTTTAATTTCCATTTAAAAACTCATTTTTTTGGGAAAGTTGTTTGGTTGTTTTTGTTTAGTGGCATGTCAACACCTCCATGGTTTTTTTTTTTTTTAAAACCAAAATTTAAATATTTTGTACATTTTTTTGAGATAATGGCTTTAGTGATACGTCTTACCCATAATTGAGGTGAAGAAGAGGTGGATTTATACCTTTCCCCAGGGGTATTTGCACATAATTGAATATAGCAAACCCAACTAGAATCAAACTGCTCTCTGATGAATAATTCAGAACCATTATCCATTATTCCACCAGAACATCAAAGCACCCATCTAGGTACTGACAAGGCTTGCTTAACTTCAGTGATTGTACAGGAACCAGAGTTTCAATGTGACATAGCTATAAACCTTTTGGAGAAAGGTGCTAACTAGGTAATACATCTTAAAGGTGTTAATCTATCATACTTTTGTTTCATATGACTATTATATTTCTATATTAAATTATGAAAATTAAAAATATTGTTTTTCATTAAGAATGAAGAGAAAACTTAAAAAAAAAAAAAAAAAAAAGAAGAAAAAAAAGACAAACTATAAACAAACTTAACCTTGTGAGCAAAACTTCAGATTTTAAACATTATGCTGATTCCCAAAGAACAAATATGGCTGACATATCAACTTCCTTTTATAAACAATTATCAACACCTGCTTACTTTGTGTTTTGTTTTCTATTGCACTGAGTGTATTTGCAATCTTCCTTTTTCAAATAAGGTTTTTCAAGTTGAGTAAAAATTTCTGAAAACCTGTACAATAACCCATTTTTGCCTTTAGTTTTCATTCAAAATATCTCATATTATGCACAAAAATATACAGTAAAGGAAAACATGCATAAGAATTTTTTTTTTTAACTTATCTTCATGTACATGATTGAATGCTTATTTACATAGAATAAGCATTAGGAGTATAAGTATACAAGTAAGAATTAATATACATTATAGCAACTATTTTCTGCCACTTTACCTTATTTAATAGGTCAAATTTTAGTAGCTGTCACTTTTTAGTCTTTGTATTATGACATTTCAAAGACATTTTTTATTTTTACTGATATTTGGGTACAAATGCATAATTGCAAAAAAAAAAAAATAAAAAAAAAAAAATAAATAAATAACTAAATAAAAAAAATAATAAAAATACCTTTATTCAAGGACGGACTTGTAAATGTTTGTTGCTCTTCATTTAAGCATGGCAAGTTGGAGGCAACCTTCTGTGAGTGAAAAAAGAAAAAAGATGCACATATTTTTATAGTTTATATTCAAATACACTGATGTATTAAAAGTCATGGGTTACCAGTATATAAAGGCAATGGTAAGTAGTGTCATAGAAATGACCAGACCTATATCAATTATGCTCTGACATCTGTTGAGTCAGTATCATTACCAATTAGGCTGTTCATGGCGATGTAACATAAATCAGAGTTCAAATAGGGACATAAGAGTGGGTACTAGATGAACTGGACATTCTATATGTCTAGTTGTAGGGATATTTGGCATCCCTTGATCTACAGTATCATATGTGTTCAAAGACTACATAAAAGTCATTACCATCTACTGAGGGAAGCACAGTGGTCAACAAGGAGTTCCTAATGACTATGATCAGGTGTCTTGCTTGAATTAAACATATGACACTGGCACAAATCATATCTTATGCAGGAGGTACCACATGTACATCCAGCAATTTAGACAGCTGATAGTGCATTACCTGGGGTAGTGATGTCATTCTGAACCTGGGAGAACAACTGACCTGATCCAATGTCATAGTTCCAATTGTTTCAGGTTGATATTAGGGTTTGGGTACAACACTGACCCCAAACCTCAAAATTGGTTTGTATAACATTTTGGAAACTTCTGATAAATAGTGTGACCTGCATGTTCCCCCAATGAGACAAATTGAGCATGCAGATGACATAGAATGGTACATTTGCATGCAGAATCCTGCATCTACAAATATCAGATAGCTGTCGAACAACTTATGGTGGTGGTGGTGGTGTCTTAACCATTTGGGATTTGATGCTATATTAAGTTGCTACATCTAGTTGGGCTAGAGGAGGCTGTACACAATACTAGGCACCTATCACAATTTTTTTTTTTTTAATTTTTTTACATACAAGTTATTCATTTTTTATTAGTTTTTACAGTGTATATTAGTATACAAATAGATGTAAAAAAAAATGTTTTTAGATTTTCTTTTTGATAATATACTTTAATGTTTTCTATTTAAATTATTTTATTGGTATTGAGTATATATATATATATATATATATATATATATAAAATTAGTTTGACTCAACATTTGCTAACACTGGCCTAATTACAGATAAAATTAGGTCAGTCTTTATTAATGCATAATATACAAAACAATCCATTAAACAAGGAATCAATAATTTTATGGTTACATACTCTTAGGAAACAATGAACGAACTGTAAATTATTCAGTACAAATATTGAACTTATGACAAAGTAAAAAAAAAAAAAAAAAAAAAAAAAAAAAAAGTGATTCTTTTAATCAAAAAAAATTTTGATATTCGAAAAGGGGTGCTGATAAGCAATAAAAAATATTTTTCTTGCAATTCCTTTTTAATCAGGTCAAGAATTTGGAACTCTTAGTTACATCTCTATAGTTAATTAAGAAAGTGTCTTTGAGAAGACGAATGCAAGTTTAAAGGTAATTAAGATAGACCTTTCAAGAAGGTTAAGAAAAATCTAGAAATTAAAGGCTGGAAAACAGAAGAAATACCTTACCAAAAATGATTATTGTATAGGTTAAATCAATCATTAAAATTTCAGATTAGCTTAGTGAAAAAATATCCATACATAAAAATGACAGAAAGCATTTAATTGCTGAAACGGATTATACTTTTTTTCTTTTGACAAACTAGGATACATATATCTGACGGATTTATTTACAAATATATGATTTAGCTATAAAAGTTTTAAATACATGCATGCACATTTTTTCTTTATGATAAATACTACATTTAGAGGATACATGTGTATTGCTAGGAAAAAAAAAAGAAAGAAAGTAATTGATAAACTTTTAATAATGAAAATATGTCTTCCAGCAAGAATTGAAGACGGCACCCCTATTAAGGAAACCTATTTCAGGTATGATCTAGATCAGGGTTTTTCAAACTGTGGGTCCTGACAAAAAAGAAAAAATATGCAAGTGAGAGCAAAGTGCAGAATATAAACAACTGAAGTACTCATAAGTCATCGTTTATTCTCCTTGCCCCTGAGAGAAGCTTATATATATAATATAAAGAAACCTACAAAAGCTTACCCACAGACCCTCTTCCTGAATACCAAAAAGAATTAACTAGCTTACTAAACATGATGGTTCACAATAAACTAATTGACAAGGAAACATGCACAGCACTTACATCCACAAACATCACACCTGCCTGTTTCTATCTCCTTCTCAAAATACACAAAAGCAACAACCCAGGAAGGCTGGTCATTTCATCATTCAACTGCAACACAACCAAAATTTCCAAATACGTAGACCATTACATATAACCCCTAGCTAAGGAAGTAAAAATCCTACATCAGAGCCACAACAGACCTACTAAACAAAATTAATAACATAAACAGTGCCAGAAAATGCTATTCTAGTGACTATGGACATAAGATCACTTTATTCAAACATTAAACACATCGAAGGACTAACTGCCCATAAAGAAGCACTTACTAAAGAAAACAAGAATCCCCACCTACAAAAGTTATCAAACTCATGGAGCATATTCTTACATTGAATACTTTCAACTTCCATGGAGCACACTACCTGTAAGAGGCTGTGCCATGGGCACCATTGCAGCTCCATCATATGCTACAATCTTCATGGGAAAATTTGAGGAGACCCATATCAGTACAGATTGCGTATTCTATGCAAAATATATCGATGACATTCTTTGTATACACAGGCAATGACGCCAAACTCATTCAATTCCTAATGACCCTAAACACAGTACATGACTTAATTAAGTTTGACTATAAAAATTCCACAAGATCAGTCACATTTTTAGACACCCGCATTTACATAGATAAAAACAGAAAACTACAAACAATCACTACACACTAAAATCACCAACACCCACAACTATCTACACTTTAAGTCTTCCCACCTTAAACACCTGAAAGAGAACCTTCCCTATTCACAAGCACTTAGAATGATATGTTCCAACAATGAAGAACTAAATAAACTCCCTCAAAATCTGGAGCATCAATTCACAACACGTGACTATAAACAAGACCTAATCAGGGAAAAAAATAAAGCAATTTCCACATCTAGAGAAGACACCCTAATGTACAAGATTAAAAATAAATCCAGACACATCCCTCTAGTAATCACTTTCAACCTCACTCTTCCTCCACTATCCCAGATAATCAAAAGTTGCTGGGAAATACTAAGTCTCAAAACAGATCTAAAAAAAATTGTTTGAGAAACCCAGCTTTCTAGCATATCATAGACCTAAGAACCTAAAGGAAATTAGGTGTAGTAACCACATTTCAGAGGATAAAGTAATCTGTAATAAACCCAAAACAGAGTTTGTCTGATTTATTACATGTAGGTATAACGGGCCATAAAGCAAAATGCGGCTCTTGTTGTGGGCCACTGTTTAAAAAAAAAAAAAAAAAAAAAGCTTGAAAAATGCTGCGCCAGATTGCTCGGTCATGAATCATAAATACATCTCATTAGACCAATTGTTTTTTTTGTTTATAAATTTATTTACAATTATTTCAGTAGACAAGACAAACACAGGAAAGGTGGGGGGAGCTTCTGCATGTGCACAAAAATATGAAAGCAAGCATAGTACTAACCTGTCGACTCTTACGACTTTGCCGACTTCCTTTTCTTCCTTTTGGTCGAACAGAGATTTTGAATTTTGCAGCATCTGTATTAAGTGCCTCAGTTTTGGCCACAGCTTCAAGATCCACACTCGGCTCTAAATAGATATAATGTAAAATCAGTATACATATAGATGCGTAATTGGATAAAATTCCTTAAACTTCAAAAGATGAATGCCAAATTTAAAATACAAGAATACTATCACAGCAATAATTTCTAAGCTTTGAATATAGATTACATAAATGAAACACATTTAATTACCTTATATAATAGATATAAGAGATAATTAATTCCAGCTTAGACTGTATTAGCCAGAAAATACAATATACAAGAAAATTAATTATAGCCTTAAAATAATAGGCAAATAGTCTTCAAAGTATATTTATATACAATTGCAAAGTGAAGAAGAATACTTTAGTAAGAAATCAAACTAGTGTACTAATAAATTAGTATGTGAAAACAGAAGTTAATTTTATGTGTACATTTTGAACTCCTTAATAATAATTTAAGTGATAATTTTTATTTTAACATTTTTTTTCACAAAACATGTAGAGTTAAATTTTGAATGGATACTTTTATAGTAAAAACCTGACCTCAGTGTACATACCTGAATTTTCAACGGATGACCTTCGTCCTTTCAAACCTTCCTTGAAATGTTCCTGATAGAAATTAAAAAAGGTAAATAAGCAAAAAGACTATACATTTGAAATAAATATGGTCATTTTTTATTATATACAGTTTCAAAAAGTAAAACTAAGCCATGTATCCATGTTGATTATATACTAAGTATCACAAACTAAAATTTTATTTTCAATATATCTAAAATTCTTTAATACAGGCATAGACAGCTTAAAAAAAGAAAAGAAAAAGAACCAAATTTATCTTAGTTTGATTATCAACATAGTTATGATTATTCAATATTTGTCAGAAAATTTTCTGTCTCATGCTATTAAACCAGAAGACAATTTCAACAATATATATAGCTGAAGACACCAGCTTCAGACCAGTTAAAAAATGTTATAAAATGTAATGTCATAGGTATTTTTGAAGTAAAAGAAATATAATATAAATGGAATCAATAATTATTAGATTAGACCAGCCATTGAGAAAAATTGTGTCCTCAAAAATGAAAGTTAAGACATGACATAGAAGGACATATTTGACTGTTCATATAAAATTTCATTTAAACAGTTAATGCCTTGTAACTTCTTGATAGGATTCATATCACAACAGAGATAAAGCAATTTATTTTTCATTAATACATTCAATAAAAAAAATAAATTACAGGGGTTAATCCCTACAATTAGTAAAAAACAAAAAAAAATAAAAACACTTGACATTTTGGAATTTACTAATTACATTTCATTTTTTCCTGAACCCATGCTCCAAAGTTAAGCTTAACCAGCCATTTTTTCTTTATTATAATATGTATCAGAGAATGTAAATGAGATGAATGATAAAAAAAAAAATGTACACTTAAATTTTTAATTGATTTTTTTTTATTTTATTTTTTTTTTTTAAAGTACAAACGTCAGTATGAAATTTAAAGTACTAAGAATATATCCAGTTTATTTTTTATGAATCTTCAAAAATGAAAAATCTTTCTTGAAGTTTTTATTTTACTTTAAAAAGGTAATAAATTAAATTTAATATTTCTAATAAGCAAAGTATTTTGTTGCATTTCAAAATTAATTTAAATTTATTGTAAGGAGTTTGTTTATATATATATATATATATATATATATAAACACTTATTTTGTTAGTACTATGTAATTCTCTTTATCAAAAAAATCTTTCAAAAATAAAATGCTTTTCTGAAACTTTATTCCAGAAATATTAGCCAATTTAAAGTTTAGGTACTTTGGCTTTAAATTTACTATAGTTATCTACACACACAAATTCAAAATTCTTTTAAAAATATTGTGGCAGGGGCCACTGAATTGTAGTAAGCTTTTCCATTTATGAAAAGTAACTATAGTTTTTACTTAATGACAATATCACTTAATATATAGAATTTTTAAGAGAAAATGTAATTTTTTTTTTTTAAGAGTTGAATTTTCATCCACTTACATTTTCAACTTATGAATTTTTTTTTGTGAAAGACAACTTATGGTTTGCCCACATAATTGATGAGTATGCTTTTTTTTTTTTTTTTTTTAAAAATGGGCAACGTTTGATATGTGTAGGGATACAACTTGAAATTACTCACCTGACTTTCTGTACTGTTTAAACTATTTCTACTGGAAGACTTCCCGGAATTAGACTGCAAACAGAAAGTAAATATGAAGATATATTATAGGCATGTGTACATACTTTGAACATATGGTAATGAGATTGTTTTTTAACTTCAAATATTATAATGGATACTTGAAATAGACAACCCCATTTTATTTTAAATTGTATATTAAGTCTACTGGCCAGCGAAAACTTAATGTGTTCTATGGCATGATTTACCACTCCATTATCAAAAGCATCACAGTTTAGCAAGGCTTTATTTATTTTTTAAAGGGAAATTTTTTAAAAGTTTATTTACATTTATTGACAACCTGATTTGTAAGAAAAAGAAAATTACAAAAACCCAAACAGTTATACAGAATTTATCAACTAAAGAATCGGGTCTTGTGATTAGATGGGTACCAGTCGCTTTCACAGACAATAAGATTATCAAATTTCAATTTTAAATTGTTTGTCCATTTAAAATACTACATTTATTAGAAAATATATTCAGTTTAAATACAGAAGTCCTAAAAATGACTTATGGTTGCATATTTCACTTTATACTCTCTTCTAGCTGTGTGTGTTGTCAGAGAGAGAAAAGAAAGAAAGAAAGTAAACACTGCAACAGATGTCCATTTCAATTTCATTCAAATTTTATGTAAGTGTATATTTTAATTTACAAAATTAAAAACTTTGAAAAATAAATCTATATAAATAAATGCAAATGTCAGTGTGTCACTTTTCCAACTTTACTCCATTTTGGAATTGGGCCAACTGTGAGCAAATTAAAAACATTCCAGGCTGGATCCGAACACACAATCCTGAAATTTTGGATTCCCAAGTTTTCATTACTGTGATTGTTTTTGACAATTTTTTTTACATGATCTTTTGTCAAAAATGTTTTTGTACTATAACAATTTCCATAACTTGGACATAAATTTGGGAACAATTAAAAGTAAGTGTAAAATTCAGTGAAAGTCACCCATGAAATAAAAATAATTGTATGTACCTGAAATAAGGACTTATGTATATCAAACTGTCTTTAAAATTAAGTGGTGGCAGAAGAATTATCAAATAATTATAAAAAGCTTAAATATTAATGCAATATTTAATTAAATGCAGCAATCAATTGTGAGTTCTTCTGTAGTTTATTGTTGCCTATCACATATGGTAGCAGGATGCCTAACAAAAAGAAATCTCTAACAGAGGACTAGATTGCAATCAAAAGAGCTAAGGCTACAGAGAGAAAAAGGAAGTCCTGTGCAAATGAAAACCCAGATCAAACGGCAACCAGGAGAGCTTTATATTGATATTATGAATAGACTTAGGGACTCTCAAACTTCTGAAAAGCCAAAGGCCCAATCAAGAGTTTTTCTCCACAGGAACTAAAAAATTGTCACCCAATGAACCTGCTTTTAAGAAATTTTTTAATAACAAAATGTTCAATAAAATGGCGGAGATGTGACTGTTTGCAAACAACATACTTTTTTGGGATCAAACATAATGACAGGAGGATTTTTAAATTTATTGGCATCATTTTATCACCAACAATGGCAAACTTATATATTTTAATACTTTGAGGAAATGGCATTAAAATCAACCACCAAAAGGCCAACCATATGGCCAAAATACATAGATGACACCTTCATACTAAATATCCATAATGTTAGACGTCCAGCTACTACTGGACCATGTGAAATCAATAAGATCATCAATACAGTTCACGAGGGAGCAAGAAAATGACAACTTGCCTTCGTGGATGTATCCATATCTCTATCCAAGCAGGAGTTCAAGACATCCGTATGCCACAAGTCAACATTCACTGAACAATACCTCAAGTTCGATTTCCACCATCCACATAGCGTAAAGAAAGGGATTGTCTGCTGCTTACAACATCAAGCAAAGGTCATAAGTGGCGACCCAGAAACATACCAACAAGAAATGCTCAGTATAAACAGTACCCTACAACGTAACTACTCTGGGTACATAGTAGCAGCTCCAAAAAAACTGGGATAGAAGGGTACAAGAGGATAACAGCACTCAGAAAACAGCTCCTGCCTACCCTATGTGAAGGGATTATTGGAGACAATATAAAGGATCTGTGGTCCATGTAACATCAGGATAATCTTCAAAAGTAGTTCAGTACTTCATAGACACCTCTTCTGAGTAAGACCCCCCACCTCCATAGAAAAGAACATAAGGACTGTTTACGCCATCCCATGTACTTCTGGTAGGAAATACAAAGGAGAAACAGGCTGGCCCTTTAAGGTAAGAATGCAAGAACATCGTAAAGCGGTAACACGAGGGGAAATAGAAAAATCAGGTGTAGCTGACCACACAAAGGAAAAGAGGAAGCACCACCTCCTGTGAGTGGAGGTTGAAATAATAGACAGAGAGCATCACTGGAAAATACAAAAACTTAAAGAATCAGCACATATGTTAGGCCACAAAAATCTCCTGAGCCAACCAAGCATATTTATGAATACAATAAAAAGGAGTGCTAGAGAAAAGCAAAGAATAACAACAAAAATTGCAATATAAGCTCTGGGAAAAAAATGAATATAATAACAGAAAAATTGTAAAAAGTGGTTGCTAAGGCATTAGGTTTATAAGCCCCAAAAATTTATACGCAGATGTCCTCAAGGACAAATGGCACCATGGAAAAAGAAGTTGGTTAGATCCAGTGACTAGACACAAAGAGTTGTGAGTTAAATACCATGCCACAGCAGTGGTGAACGAAACTTGGAGAGTTGAGTTAATGGGAAATAACTTGAGACATTCGGAAGAGGCATAGCACGTGGAACTAGAGTGATCTAGTCCAGTGGATGAAATCAAGGATTCGGTTTGAAATGCCAATCACCTGAAGAAGGCAGGAGCAAATAACAGCCAAAACATTGTGAATATGCTAATGAAAATGAGGAATAAGGTAAGTAATAGTTTTGTAGTTTAGTTAATCTGCTGTATTAAGTTTTTATTAATTAGGCTACAAGTATAGATAAATAGAACTCTTAAAATCAGCATTGCAATTCTTAGGAAAATTGTGATGCATACAAAATTAATGAAAAAGGTAAAGGAAATTCCAAAGGGAAAAAGGGAGATGAGGTTAATAGTTTTCTAGTGAGGACAATATAGTAGTAGACAACTGATAACGGACTTATTACAGTTAAATGTAAACCAAGTACCATTGGAGTATTTTTACCCTGAAGATATTACTATTTTCAACAACTTTGTCAGGGTTAAAAATTACTGTAAATTATTAGGACATGCTTCTGAATGTATAATTGTCTGGATTGATTGTATATTTCGTTTTCATGAGATTATTAATTAATTTTACTTTAAATGTATTTAAAGTATATTAGGTTTAAATTTACTTTGATTTATCTTAGCAGTAAAATAGTAATACATTACAGTAGTTCTGTCGAAAGAATGTTTAAAAAAAAAAAATTGTTAATATTAATGCGTCAATATATATATATATATATATATATCTCATAAATTTTAAGTTGAGCTCTCTGGAATATTCCAATTTGGAAAGTCTTAATTATCTACAGATTAAGCCAATCAATTAATTTTATTTTGCAGTCATACAATTATTTTCCTTATTTATTGCAAGTTATATACTTTGATTTATATGCATGTATATGTTTTTGTGTGTGTGTGTGTGTATATATATATATATATATATATATATATATATATACACACATTCGGGCTATATTGATGTAGATTAGTTGATATAAATTAATTTAATTTCAATCTATTTCATTAGCTGTCACTTGTATTTACCCCACCAATAACTGCTGTGCTGACACCATGCTTCTTTTTCTTTCCCCAACTCCTCACTTCAATAATGTAAATCCCAGGAAAATTTTTCTAGGCCAAGTAATGTAGACATTTACTTCCTGTTCTCATGTGATTTAATTTTAAAATAATCTTTAATAAATTGCTTCGGTAAATTTAAACCATTTTGTAATTAAAAACTTATCTGTTAAAATAAATTTATTACCAAATTCTTTGATGATGTATTAAGTTTTTTTTTCCTCTGTGTGTGTGTCTATATATATATATATATATATATATATATATATATATATATATATAATTTAATGGGTTTTCCAATACTGTATCTTGTAATTGGTCTTTTGTTACCAATTGGATGTGTGAGTATCTATATGTGAAATATAGATAATAGTAATAGCATCTGTGTTTGGTATGAGAAGGAGTTGAAAAATTCGGTTTGACTTACTCCCCAAATTATGATCAAATGAGTTTTTCTTTTTTTTTTTTTTTTTTGTGATGACATCTTGGTTGTGCCAAAAACTTTACAACAGCTCCACATAAAGATGAAAGTTACCTAGTGCAACATTAAGGTAAGGATATAAAAAAACCCAAGAAAACAACAATGAATGAAGACTACACTGTTCAGACTGTTGTCCTCATCTTTGTCACATTAATGATGTTTTGACCATTGTATGCTCCAGCTCCCTTCAGGTGATATTTGTTAAATTTTCAAACCAAACCATTTATTTAAATATTACCTGAAGAAGGTCAGAGCATACAATAATTGAAACATTGTGAATGTGAAAGTAAAAATAAGAACAACAGTACAAACAATGTAAATCCAGTAAATATTTACAATACCTCATCTTGGAAATATAGATAAATGAAAGAATACCTTTTTCTTTCTGTCATGCACAAATTTGTACAATATTTCAGTACAAACAAATTGTTAGAAGAAAAAAAAAAAAAAAATTACTTGATTAACATGTATATTTTGTTGATGCCTTCTTAGAATAACGCAAGTTTATCTTTGATTCCTGTTTAGTTGTATGGTTTATTCCACCAATACACTATCTTCTGATCGACTTTTATTTTTTCGTAAGGAAATCCGAGATAGAAACCTTTTAAAAGAAATGCATAAAATCAGTTTAGGGAGAATAGTTGCATAGCAAGTTTTAAATTTACAGTGCATAAATATGCATACAAACAGGTATGTATTTAAGTACATACAAGCTGTGTGTGAAAAAAACAAAAATCATTGAAAACACTTGTGGAATTTCTGCATTACTTTATGCTTAGTAATGTTCTTGATAATAAATTATATTGATTGGTAATAAAACCAATTAAATTTCAAATTGTACATTTCTTATACACAAATATTTACAACTTGATTGAGTAGTCAGGAATTGAAGATGGAATTTTAAAAATATTTTAGAGGAATAGTGGTCTGTGCAGTGCATTCACTTGAGAAAAGTTTTTAAGAAAATATGCTCTTTGGCAAGGTACAGCATGACCATGTATCACTCCTTTATGTTCTTTTAATCAACAGAAGTAATACAGATACTAAAATAATAAAAAACTGTACCTAATTCAAACACTAGTATCCACAAAAACCTTTGAAGAAATGTTGGCTGAAAAATATATACACTAATCCTTTATTATAAAAGATAAGATGTTCTGTAGTGAGTGACTGAGCTTTCCCACTGTTTCAGATAGTCAATTACTTACACACACGCGCGCGCGCGTATGTGTATCTGTCAAGATACAAAGTTTAAACCCGAGAGAGCTCTTACTACTCCACCCTTGATTTGACTAAGTTTACTAAAAAGTATAAATCACATTTAAAGTGAGAGCTTTGAATAAGTATATTAGTACTTAAATTGCATTATTTACATTATTGTCCTCATCTTTGTCGCCATATTTATTACGTTTCGGCCACTGTACTCTCCGGCCTTCTTTGGGTGTTGGAATGTCGAACTGAAGGTCGGAGCGTACAATGGTTGAAATGTTGTAATAAATATGGCAACAAAGATGAGGACAATAGTCTGAATAAAGTAAATAGTGTACATAATACCTCATCTCAGAAATATAAACAGATATTAAATTGCATTGTAAGATTTTTTTTCTTTGACTGGGGTGTGGGGACAATGTTATTTTCTTAAAAGGAATCAAGCCACATCAAAATATTTTATATGATTAGTAATACAAAATTACTTCATTGCCTGACTAAAGGAAATGTGATAGTAATTCCAATTTAATTAATTATGAAAATACTTATTTATGCAAACTATAATATCATAGGTCAAAGTTTTAATTTACTAATGATTACAGATACAGTGACACAGCAATTACTAAAACCAGAATCTAAGCAAGCAAGCACCTGTTAAAAATTCCCATAGTCTGAGAAGCCCTTGAATAAAAATAGCTAATATATTAATTCAAAAAAGTAGATAGTTTTATACTTTCTGTTAGAAAGAAAGATATATCAAGTTCAAAAGTATTACTAAAGGGAATTGCTTATAGTTTTAAAATCTGCTCAATGGTAATTTTAATGAAACTTGCCCAAATAAAAATGGATCATTACCCAAGATATTTTTTTCAACAGGATCTTTATCCTTCTCATTGAATTATATCCCTTTTGTGTTTTCTTTGAAAAGGAAGACAAAAAGGTATATGCTGAAAATATTGATTAAAAACAAATTTTACTGGAACCATGTTCCTTTTACTAACTAAATCTTATAGTAGAAGTTCTAACAACTCCATCCAAATGAACAACTTATTGCAAATGTATTCTTTCCTTTTTATTAATGTATTATAATTACTATCATTTTTTATTACTGGATATTGAGTATATCACAACATAAACTGTATGTTACTAGCAAGGATTCCACTTTTCTGATGCTAAGTGAATTGTTAAATTGTATAGCCGAGACAACTTCTGGTTTAAATTAATATTTTCTTTACTTACCCTCCCTCTTCATCATCTTCTTCTCCTTCCCCAGAAGCATGGCCATAGAGTGCACTTGTTGACCGTGCACGGGCAGAGTCAATTTCCTTTAGTTTTTTTGTTGCAGAAAATATTTCTAACATGTTGTACAGTTTGCAATAGAAAAGATTTTATTCTATAATGGTAAAAGATTAGTGAAAAAGAAGGAAAAAATTTTCTTTTTAAATAAGCAGAAAAATATTTATTTGTCTAAACAGTCACAAATCTTTCTCTGAATCAAATATATTTATTTGTAAATAAACATAATTACTTTGCAATATTTTTTAGTTTTTAAAAACAACTAAGTAAGCAATTATAAAACTTTAATAATATTGCTATTTGGTTTAACATTAATATTATCTGTGTTGGATCTTGAATTGTATAAATTTGGGGATATATTTTTTATCTTAAATTTGTGCCATCAAATAAAAGACAAATTTTAACTTGTATAGGAAGAATAGATTTATGAGATTTATAAAATGTCATTGTTTGTTAAAACATCTATACATTTCTCTTAATAACTGGCAAAAAAGCTTTTTTGCCAGTTATTATGAGAAATTTATAGATGCTTTATTTGACTGCTAATGGCACAAATTTAAGATAAAAAATATATCCCTAAATTAATGAAAAATTATTTTTTAACTATAAGAAATTTTTATTGTAAATAATATGATGAACATTTTCTAAAACAATAATAACAGTATTTAAGATTTATGTTATTTTGATAAAACTTTAAATCAATATAAATCAGCCTAATGACAAAAATGAACTTTTCTAAAATTGTGGTAAAATTCACATATTCTATTTAAAATATCTACATAATAAATAGTTAAAGGGAGTACAACACATTTTGTTTCATTTAG